TCGTTCTGGAATTCCCGAAATGGGGCCAGATCACAGCGAGCAAACGCTCGAGCCCACGAAAGTGGATGATGACGCTGACGCTGCACGACTAACGGCATAGGTCGAATCATCATCACAGGTGACAGGTATCGTTTTGATTGCTCCGATGCCATCACCAGGACCATTGAGCGACTGCAGTCAGAGCTTTGCCGACTTGCGTCATGTGAGTGCCATTTCAGAGGGTTGCTGGGGATGGGGCTAGGCAACGCGACTCAGGCTGGCTTCAGGCAGTGAGGGTTGAGCCAGTGCTTTGCGGACTTGCGTCATGTGAGTGCATTTTCAGTGGGTTGCTAGGGATGTGCTTGGCGACGCGACTTTGACAGGCTTCAGGCAGTGAGGGTCGAGCCAGTGTACACTTGAAGCAGCCCTACTAACAGGGCGTGTGTGTGTGAACGCCTGTACATGGCGACTGCAGTGCACCTTTTTTCTTCTTTTTGCAGGGGGCAGAAGCTCTCCCTGGGGGTCTTCTGCCAACGAAGACGCCCCAGGGAGGGGTGAAAACGTACCTGCCGTGGTGCACCTGGGGAGATGGACTCCAGCTGGTGGCCACCAAAAAATGTGTCTTTGTCGCGTCTGGTCCGGTCTGTCTTCCTTTGCATCAGTTCGTGTCGAGCCAAAGTGTGTATGTGTATGAATGTAATGTACTGTAATGTAATGGAATGTAAGTACGTATGTAGTGTATTTATGTTTGTGTGTGTATGAATGCAACGTACGGTAATGTAATGTAATGTAGTGTAAAGCATCTAAGGAAAGTACGAAGTAAGTAACTAAGTACGTATGTATATGTGTCTGTGTATGTGCGTATGTACTTGTATGTCTATGTGTGTGTGTGTATATCTATAGCTATAGCTATATCTATGTCTGCATACACATATAGCTTAAGCAAGTAAGTAAGCAAGTATGTATGTATGTATGTATGTATGTATGTATGTGCCTACGTACGTATGTCTGTAGGTCTGTATGTATGCGGACCTCAGATTTTAATCGGCGGCCGCAATACACACATCGATTGAGTTATGGGATGTTGGTGCCAAAACAGTATTTTGGGCGACGACTCACTTACCTTGACTTGCTTATGGGGTACTGGCGGTTGGTGTCGTGCTTTGCGACCTTGTGCTGCCACTGGCCGACATTTGTCGAATTAGCTTCTGCCGAGTTACATCGCATATTACTTCTTCGAGGTAGTGGCAGCTTGTCTCATGTGCCGCACGTTCCCTTGTTCCGCAGGCGACAGATTACCATCCTGCAACGCTGATGCTTGAGAGGTCTCAGGTTCCCGGTAGGACATTGCGCGGCATCGCTGAGACGTAGACACATGTGGACAGCCGGCTTTCCTGAACAGGGTGCAGCCGACGTCGACGTCACACACGTCGTGGTCAAGGTGAAGCCTGGAGCCGAGAAGGCTTGGCCTTCGTTTGGGTTAGGGGCAGTTAGGCCATGTTAGGCCATTATGCCCCCAATGTTTGTTTTTTTCTTGCCCTTGCTCAGAGGCGTTCAAGAAGGCCACTCGTGCCAATGCCATGGAGTCTGCTAGCCGCCCAGGTCACACAGCATGGAGTCATGTGTCGACTGACCGGGTTTGGGAGTTTGATGATTTTGCCATATGAGGTGAAGGAGTATGGCAATTTGCGGTTCGATGTGCTCCAAAGCGTGGACGACCCAACCGATTTCCTGCTGATTGAAGTGTACAGGCCACAGCCTGTGGTGAGGTAAGCTCTGCAAAAGTTTGCCACACATCTTGTTTCAGCCGGAGGACGGCTGCCGATGCGGCCAAGCACAAGAACACGCAGCACTATCTTGAATGGAGGCTGCGTGTTCTGCCGTTCTGCCATGCCTCGCGGGGGTATCAGTTAGAGTCGAGCTGAAGCAGGTCGACTGTGGCCTTTATGATGGCCGAGCCCAGGGAAGGCAAGAAATATGTTGGCAGCTCGTGGTCTGATGGCGCTGCCGAAGTGAACTCGCAAAGCCTCGCAGAAAGGACATTCCGTCAAGCGAGCACTCTTTGTACCGAGGTCACTCACTTCCCAAGCGTTCCTGCAGCATGGAAGGTGGCCGAAGGAGCCCGCAGCTCAAGCCGGGAGGCAGTGAGAGTTCTGAATTGCCACTGAAATTGCTTGGCCAAGGTAATATGACATGATGACGACTTGGAGTCAATGTGTGAAAGACCATTTGTTGCATAATATCATCTGCTTCGACTCTTGCCGGTTTTGATTGGAATCAAAGCTGCATGAGCGACGTATTGGCCTTGAGAAATGGCACTGCATCTGCTGAAGCTGTGTGTGAACGAAAGAGCTCCTGAACTAGCCGGCATTCACACCACAGGTACTCTTATTACAAGAAGTACGGCCACAACACGATCTGCATGCCTGCTAGTTGGAGGCCTTCCAGGTGCCTGAGCGATGCGCAGTCTTGAGGCTTTAGGATGTCTCCTGTGGCTCGCAAACGTTCCAGATGCCAGGGGCGCCGGCCACGATCTGGACGAAATTCAGGTCAGTTCATGGTTTGGGGAGTTATTGCATGTGAACTTGAGTTGACAGGGCTCTATCAGCTTGCGGAACGGGGCAGCGGGTGCTATGTCGAAAAATCTTGCGGCCCAACTCTAATGACGTGTGACGGCTCAAGTCGCAAATTGCAGATCAAGGCCGGTGACTGCTCCAGGATGTGAGCTCGCCGTGCGCATGCGCTCACGTTCGCGGTCAAAGAGCCCAAAGAGCACGGGAAACGACGCAGAGGTAACAGATGCCGACACGGAAGTGGCAGCTTCACCGGGTTTGTCCTCCCAGCGTCAACTTGTCGTCCAGAAATTTAGGACGGCTTTGGAATTCGTGTCTTCGAAGAGCAATAGCCCCATGAAGACTTCTGAAAGCCTTCTCTTAGCCAGGAGGATAGAAGCACAGCTTCACGAGAAATTGGATGGGCGGAGATATACGAGCCAGGCCAGGTCGCTTCTTTTCAACCTGAAGGATGGTTCCAACGTGGACTTCAGAGAGAGCTTGCTTAGTGGCGAGCTTGACCTAGCGCGACTTCCCGAAATCTCAGCGGAAGAGATGGCCAGTTCGAGTCGCAATGCACAGAGGGCCCATTTGAGACAGCAAGCACTGGCAGAGACGTCTTTGCGACCTTCCGGTATTGTTTCGACAGACAAGTTTCGCTGTGGAAGATGCCTTGGAACCAAGACCAAGCATGTACAGAATTTCGCAGTCGAGAGCTGTGTACGCTCAGGGGGCGAGCCCGTTGAAACAACAGTTGCTTTCGTGACTTGTCTCACCTGTCACCACACCTGGACAGAGCGCAGTGGCTTCGCCTAATTAGCTTGCAATAGCTGGCTTGGGCAGTCGCGAGTTTGCAACCCTCCATCGCATTCCTGTCTGCCTCAATCCCTCCGTCGGCGTCTTCTTTTTCTGGGCTGCTGCCAGCTTGCGAGGCACTGGCAGGAGTTGATAGAATGACGATTCCACCGGGGCCAGCCTCTTAAAGGAGACAAGTTGTCCTTCGGATGAGCCATCTCCGAGAGCCAGGCTCTTGTTCGCGAAGCTAAGGTTTCTCAAGCAGCTTGCTGAGGACACTGGCGTGTTGGAGAGGACCTGGGCCCTGGCTCTTGAACTTGCTGGGCGTGTTCTTGAAGGTGGTACCGTGTTGCTGTTCGCAGCCGTAACGGCCTAAGACCAGAAGGCAATGCCTGCGGCACAGCTTCCCATCATACCGGCGCACCAGCGCTACCTCGCGGATGGCAAAGAGCCGCAAGGGCAGCACGGGCACACGGGCATCGGCCAGCAGGTCCTAGCGGCGGCCTTCGAGTTTCTCGGCGGCCTCCGGCAGCGAGGAAAAGACAGCGACAGTTGGAGCAGCGCCGCAGCGCCCGCCAGGTCCTTCTCGCGATCACCAGCAGTCTCGCCAGTTGGCATTCCCGTCGATGCGGAGCTGCCGCTCACGGTGCAGCGCTGAGAAGTTCTGAGCAGTCATGAGTACTGTCTTGTGGGTCAAGCTGGGCAGTAAGGGCAGCAGTCGAGTCCCTTGTGAAAAAAATGTCAGATTTATGTAGGCAGCTGCGGCGTGCTACGGGCCCTTGAATGCAAGTACCAAAAAGCTGAATCGCACTATCCTCTTGGATATGTTCTTTCCCACCAGTGTTGCACAGTCCAAGAGCTGAATGCACACATACTGCAGCTGCCAGGTGAAGAACACCTTCATCGATGTGGAAGAAGAGTCACCTGATTCAATCCATTCACTTCATGATCGTGGAGCCAGGACCTGTACAGCGCGCATGTCGCCATCAAAAGGGTTCTTTGACGAGCTACCTGATCAGCAGGATGCTTGGACACATTAAGCGCCAGGTACGAGTGTTGTGAGAGTAAGAGTGGGCTGAGATTTGTCTGGCAAGGGACACGGCACAATGCCAGAAACACCGAACAACGATGGGAGTGCTTCGCCGTTGTATTCTCCTGTGAGCCTGTGAAGATGGATGAATGTTGTTGGAAGTCAGCGTCGCTGGAACCAGTCGATGCTCTCCTCGATCCGGGTGCCGGCTTGAACCGGTACGAACTTTGTGATCCATGTCATCTGATGTCAACTGTAAGGCTCAAGACAGCCTGTGCCGCAATCTTCCTGCAGTTGGACATTGATTTCGGCTGCATGCTTTTGGAGTCTTTTCAACAAGATTCGGAGGACCCTGAAGGATTGCCGACTTCACCTAAAAACTGACAGCACCACATGCCCCGGCCGGAAGAGAACACTCACATAATGCAACTTCTATTGACCGGCTTGGGAAGGGCTCAGGAGGAGCCTTTCGCCTATCCCGGTGCTAAGCCCACGCTTTTGTCTGGATTCGATATTTCAAAGTAAGGAGATGCAACACAGTGAGCTGACCGCAGTCCCCCCGGACTCACCAGACAAGCGGATGGATATGAGACTCCTGGTTCCAGAAGATGACCATGATGGCACAGGCAGGGTTTTCTAAGGGTGGAGAGGTGCAGTGGCACTCAGCCTGTCCGAGGCAGCAGTCCGGTGAGTCCATGCATGCCGCCGCCCTCGGAGTCGGCGCCGACCTTCGAGGACGACGCAGCGCCGCCCGCGCCGCAGACGCTGGGCCCGCACTTGGCTCGCCAATTGACTCGTCTTTTTTTTTGGCCCAACTCAGGATGAGCCCATCGCATTTCGGAAGGCAGCTGCTGGGCCTTGCGTTGCAAGCCCCGGAAGCGCTTTCCGCACCTCCTTCAGAAGGATCGAAATTGCATGGGCTGTTTGACGAGGACAGCCGGCATCTGCCCAAGCAGCGCCTTCATCTTCAGTGAGAGTGTCGATTTGACAGGAGGGCCTACCAGCATGCCAGCCCTGTGCACTTTGGCAAGAAATTAGTCGCCCTATGTGAAGCTGCTCTGTTTTAAGTCCGGATCTGCAAGGTGCCTGATCTCGCTATTCTGTGCATTTTTGTCTTTGCAGCAAAGACCAGCTCTAGCAGTAGCAAGTCTATCCTTGCTCCAAGTGCTGTCACCCAAAGGCTTGGTTCCACAAGAAGCCCAGTGGCTGTATTAATGGCGCAGCATGCAAGCGCTGCCACCTTTGCCCAGAGGGGGAGCCAAAGCTTCGCAAGAAGCAGTTCCCTGACTTGAAGCCTGGATATCTCTGTGAAACTGCCATAGACCTTCATCCCGTGCCCAGTGGTGCATGCGTGGAGCGAGGTGGTCGGGATCAGACATTTTCAAGGAGTGGGCTGATAACCCCATGTACCCATGCCTGAACGAAGGAAAGTTGCTCGGTTACGGCAACAGCAGGCGGAGGCTGCCAGTCGGGAGGCTGCTCAGGCGGGACTTTAATGGGCTTGAGGTTATGAACTATGGACTATGGATGTAACATGACCAAGCTGCTAACCACTTGCAGCTGTACGCTTAAGTTCATCCCTTAATCCAACAGCACAGTTGCGATTTTATGATACGGGTCACCTGTCATGGTCATGTCAGGGATTGTCAAAACGGTAGATGACAGTGGGTGTGATTGTTTTGTTTTGCGCATTTTGTGTCTTGCGCGGAATAGCTTCGTGCCCTGTCAGTCCGAGTCTCCTTCGGCAAGCAGGCCTGCGGATGCGACGAGAGGAGCATGGAAGAATGTAGGACCTCATAGGACCATGCAGAGTCTTCGGTGTTCTGGTGAGGACCTCCTTCGCCTGGGGGTTCTGCTCCTCTTGGAGTCGGCGCAGTGGCTTCGCAGCCTTCGCAGCCTTCGCAGCCAGGCGCCATACCCGGCACTGGGGCTGGGCCTTGTGCCAGCGGCCCCCCAAACAATGGCCCTGGTGTCATGGCTGTCCCTCAGTCACCGGGTGTCGTTGCAGTCCCAGTTGGACAACTTGGACAGTGCCTTGACTCCCAAATTGCCGACATGAGCCGCAGCGTGAAGGAAATCATGGCAAACATCAGAGCACTGATTCTTGACATCATGTTGAAGCATGCAGCATGGTGCCGTTTCTGAGGGGCTGCGGGATGCCGTCTCCCATGTACACAGTACCGGTGGCGCAGTATCAGTTGCTGGCTGCTCCCGGGGCCGCGGCCGTTCTCATGCAAGTGCCTGCTGTGCACCTTGACAGATGTCGTTGTGGAAGTAATAGCTGATTTACTAGCAATCACCTACTAGTGAATTCTACATGTAGCAAGACCGAAGGCGTCAGACACGGACCACCAGGCAGCTGCAAAATCCCTGACCTTGAACTGCATCCTCGCAGAAGCTAAGGTCGCAGCAGGGTCCTGCTCAGCAGCTACAAGCACCTCAGCAGATTCCTGCCCAGCAGATTTCTGCCCAGCAGATGCCTGCAGGGCAAATGCCACCCCAGCAGATGCAGCAGATGCAGCAGATTCCTGTTCAACAGATCCCTGCCCAACAACTCCTTGGACAACAGCTTCCCGGTCAGCTGCCCCCGCAGCTTCCGCCTCAGCAGCCCCTTCAGCTGCAGCCCCAGCTTCAGGCTACACAGCCAGCTCCTATCCAGCAGTTTCAGCCTTTGCAGGCTGTACAACAGTTTCCCCAGCTTTCTGTGCAGCCTGTACCTATGCAGCTTCCACAGGGCATGGGTCAGCAAATGCTTCAACCGGGTAATGTTCAACAGGTCGGTGTCCCTGTAACCTTGCTTCTCGGATGCAGTGCTCACAGTGATTTGGTTGCCTCTGTGAGCTAGTCGACATCGGTTTGACCACCCTAAGCCACTGAGGCTGGTAATATCTTCTGCCTTGCTTAGTGGCGGTAGGTGTTCCCTGCATAGTTCTATCCGATAGACCTCGCCTGGATTGTCGAAGTTGTGAGAGTGTAAGCCACTGAGGCCGGTGGCTGGCAAGCTAGAAGCACCACCTTCACCACAGCAGAGCCGACAGCCTAGCCCCCGCTGGGCTGATATCACTGACAGCTAAGCACGCTGCACCTTTGATTCTATATAATATGATTCACACAAGATACACAGAAACGATCCAGTTTCCAGAGGTTGAGCCTGCTCAGTGCCGCATGGTCAGAGTTCCACAGACATGACGAAACCATGTGTTTTAGCGGTGTATATAACTCGACGGCGGCTGGACGAGTCTCGCAGCTCCCTCTCGGAATGATCTCGTTGTCACATTGTGTCGGTTGGGTCATTAGACAGCCAGAGATTTTCAACACGGCTGCAACCCGGTGCCTGGCGCGGCAAATGTCAGATGGGGACAGGTGCAGCTCATGATCGATGATGCACCTGCACGCCCGTGAACATGGGCATACACAGAAATGCATCTCAACACTGTCAGGCTTTGTTCCGCCAAGCCCTGACGTCAACAAGAGCAGTAACATACCAAAGCCCTTGACTTTACTTCTGTGGTGCCTCTTTGCTGTGTGTCGCAGCGTAGCATGGCCAAGCCAGGCTACTTCACCAGCAGACTGGGAATGGTGTAGTGCATCACCTCGGGTGAAAATGACTTTCTCAGAATCCCAAGCTCATGCTGGTTGCGAAATATATCAAGAAGCGCCAGCCTTGACAAGATGATGTAGCCTTGCCTTAGGTGTTTGCGAATTCCGTGAGGATGTTGGAGCCGGAAGGCTCAGCAGCCAGATGCGAGGACGAGGAGCTCTGCGGTGGGCAGATGTCGGAGGTCCCTCGCAAACACCAACCTCCTGTGGCATGAAAGCTTTCCTCCGGTCAAGGTTCAGTTCCGCCTGCTCTTCAACGAAGATGCATGTGCCACAGAGAAGACGGCCGAGGCAGGACGAGACGTCACTCCTTTCAAAGCTCGGTTTCTGCCGCTGCTTCGGCTGAGGGCCTGAGAGCTTTCATCTCCGACACCAACAAGCTTGAGGCCAAATGTATCTTCACGAGATTTTCAATCTTTGGCCTGACTTGCAGGCCGCACTCCGGCAGAAGATCCAAGCCCTGGCCTGACCACTGGCGCTGCAGCCGGGGCATCCAAGCCACTCGTATTAGGGAAGACAGAGCATAGCTGACATAGCTGACTTCTTCGAGAGCCGTGAGCGAAGAAATGATGCTTGTTGAGCCTGGCGATACCTGGCGCAGCGGTGGCATGAGTGTACAAGTAGTCTTCAGCTTCTGGTCGATTTCTGCCGGATCAAGACAGGTGGACCGAACCGCTTTACCCACGGATGGAGCCTTCGTGGAGCACCGCAGTGGGGAGAGGTAGATTCAGCAGCAATGGCCCGCTTGCAAGCTCGTGGCGTGCAGATTCCAGGCATTCTGTGTGCAATGCTCATGGCTTGCAGGGGCGTTGCAGCATCCTCTGCAACTTGCCCGACTGCTTCGCACTTCTGTGACGGGGATCCATCACATTTGATGCAGGTCACATCTCTCAGGTCAAACGCCGCGATAGGGCTATTCCGTGCCGCTCGGGCACCCCTCAAGAATGCATCCGGGGAGCCAGCGCCAACAGACATTGAGCAGCACCTAGCCGAGCAAATAGAAAGCAAGAAGTCCGAGAAAGACAAGACGAGCACTCGGAAGCAATGGCCGGGGACGTCTGTGAATGACACGAAACTCAATGCTACAGGAGAAGAGACAGCACCCTTTGTGCATGCCGAATACCAAGGTGCCAAGGGCAAGTCAGTTGAAGTGAAGGTTGAGATAGCGACGGCCAGTGAGATTGTGTCCATCTATCTCTTGCTGTTTGTGCCGCTGCTCATGGGTTGGGTCTACTACTGGTACGGGCTCACGACGGGTCTTGGACAAGATGCATTGTATCAGCTTTTGATTCAGCTGAGCGTCGGAGCGACGAGCATTGGAAATGTGATCGCCAACCAGTCGCTTTGCATTCTGACGCGGGAGCCCATGGCGCTCACATTTCTGCAAGCGGCCGGCCTCTGTCTCGCCGGACTCCTCGTGTCAGCAATGTCTGCTTGCCACAAAAGGCAAAATGTCACTCGCCATGCGCTTGCCGGGCTTTGCAAGTGGACGCCTGCAGCTGTGGCTTTCTGTGCCTACCAGCTGGCGGATCATTTCCTCTCCAACAACAGCTCCATTTCGGAGCGCACCATCGTGGGCAACCTGGGCCCGGTGGTCGGCCTGGCTGCGGAACTGACCATGCCAAGTATGTTTGTTGTCGGTGCCTCTAAAGCTAAAGAGGCAAGTCTATCATCCAAGATGGCTCTCTTCAGCACTGTGTTTGGTGCCACAATCTTCGTACTGCAAGATCCTGACTTCAATTGGGTTGGCATAGAGACATCCTCAATCTGGACACTCTCGCATGTATTGTATAGATTACTACAAAGAGCCTTGCTCGGCAGATTGGATGGTGTTCCAGTGGCCTGGATGATGGCCTGGGATGGGTTTCTGCTCTGCATCCCAGCCGTGTTCATGTCTGGCGGATCCGCGGCATCAATTTGGAACGGCTGGCAGATCTGGATCACCAATTCTCAGATCTGGATTCTCTTGCTTTTGTCGACCCTGTCCTTTGCGTCTGGACACTTTGTCACAATCTGTTGTCTGAAGAGCTCTTCTGCCACACTTACTATGGTAATCGGGAACATTGCCACGACTTTATGCTTGGTCCAGGGTATCCTCTTCTTTGGAGACAGAGACTTTCAGCAGCCTCTGACTGTTGTGGGAATGTTGATCAACCTCTTCGGCGGCTTGTGGTATGCAAAACAGGATGCAGCGACTTGCGATTCAAAGGGGGAGAACGTCCCCGAGATCGAAGATGAGAAAGTAGCAAACTCCTAGAGTTTTTCTACGGAAACAGATGATGTAATTTTTTGTGAGTGACCTCAATATGTCCTTGTCTGCTTGTGCCAACTATTTGTGGGTCCGGATGCAGCTCCTGAGGAGCCTCTGCCCAACGACCGGACTCGGCGCGAATGTGGGACAGTTAGAAATCGAATCGCTTCGGACTCGTAAACGGCCTAAGCTTGGTGCGATGACGATGCATGTGTTCGGCAGCGGTGCAGCGGTGCTCCAGTTGGCCCAAGAAGCCCGGAGCCGGAACAGAATCCCTGGCGATGTGGTAGAATAGCCGCAAGCGGCGTCACCCAGGCTGCGCTGAGCAGGGTGTTGGGGTGGAGAAGACTTGCTGAGAGCTGCGAGAGTGATGCCGAACATGCCAAGTGAGCCGATTATGCCCTCGCACTGGTAATCATGATGGTTTGTGAGTGTTGTCGACATGCTGCAAGAGCGCCCCGGTCTGACACACCCACACTTGATGAGGTTTCTCACGACTACTGTTATGCACGCACGCCAACACACGGCCAGGGACCGCTTCTCCACCGGCGTCACTCATGACTCATGACCAACACACCCGAGTCTGCAAGAGGTTGAAGGGAAGAACTTGGAAGGCCAAGCGAGGTGTGCTGCGGGATGAGGTTCAGTTTCGTTTCGGAGCACCTGCCCGGGTGGAGGGGGCCGTAGGAAAAGGAAAAGAAAGGTGTGCCTGAAGCAGCCTAAACAGAGCGTGGGGTGTGGCCTCCGTGATCACTTGGACTGGATGTATACTGTTCGGTATGCTGTTACTGTTGTTCCATTGCATTGTTGCTTAGGCCGAAGTCATCCGTTTCACCGTCGACTCAAGTCTGCAGTCCGTGCTGTTGGGAGCCTCGCTTGAGAACTTGTTTGGATGGTGAGGCTCGCTAATGGCGGCAACTGAGCCAATCAGCATACACAGCAGCCGGCAGCTGTGGGTTTTCGCCTTGCTGCCTGCCTATACGGATCGAATTGAATTCAGTGCTTCCGCATGCGGTGGCACGCCTACTGCAAATCGGCAGGTTCTTGGGCCATGCCAGCTGCTCGGTTTTCTTAGTCCTGGTCAACAAGACCATATCGATGTCCTTTCCTTATGTCAGCAGCCCAGCCCGTCGTTATCAAGAGATCCGTCACGTCTTGGGAGCAATCGCGAAGCCCCGCACAGGCTTGGACAGTTGTTGCTCTGCAGAACACGGGGACCATAGTGTGCTCTTGCATTCTGCATTTCAATGGCAAGGCGCGGGCCCGCCATGTGCACAAAGTGCTGCCATTGCCTGGCCGCTTGTTTAAGATACAGTATCTGGTCGAGGTGCTTCTCCGCCGGCTACAGAGGTCTCAGGCCCGAAGCGCTCGGACAGTACCGGCACCAGCGTGTGCATTGAAATGTCAATTGCTCTGTGGAGGAATTTAAGGCACATGCTGGACGAATGTCGGACTTTTTGCAGCCGTCTTGTTCCAAAGCGGCCCGAAAGACACAGCAGAACCACCTAACACGGCCATTGCATCTGACTGTGTTTGCATCGCCTTGGTTGTGCTGACACTTGATCGCGAAGAGACGTCCTTCCATCGTATTTGTTGCATGTATCTGCGAGGTTACCTGAGTTTGAGTATCTGTCAATGACACACGAGCGGCTTCTTAGGCGGTCCGCGGCAAGCAGAAGTGTGCATGGGTCCATGGGGGAAAAGCTAGTCGTGGTGACTGCCGTAGCGAGTTTGACATGCCTCCCGCCTCTCTACCGCTCTTGTCGGGTGATACTACACCTCGGTCGAGAGCAGATTTGACAGCGAGAACCACATCCATGGAGGGTTGTGATGCCAGGTGCTTCCGCTCCTCGTAGATGCCGTTTGGCTGGTTGCGGTGCCTTGGATTTCGACGTGCTCGGTGACTGCTGGTTTTGCTTCGCTAGGTTTTGATAATACAGGTGCTGATGAGCAGCTTCAAAGCCTTGGAGGAGGTTAGCGACTTGGCGGCACTTAGCTTGGTTTCAAGATTCACGGCGCCGTGACCCGGCTAGAGGTGACGTCACGGTGGTTCTGACAGCTTACAGTTAGTACTTCGAGCCAAGGCGTTCCACTCTATGCAACTTATCATTGCAATTGCCTGCTTCCTCCCATCGGATTGGATGAGTTGCGTGTAGAATACGTATAATCTCGCTCGCGACTCAGGTAGTCATTCGCAATACTGTCCCATTTCTTACGGCCCTTTGCGAGCGTGTTGCTCTACAAAAGCCCATGGACGCGATGCTGGTACTTGCGCTGTTGATCACCTTCGTCGGGACTATCCTCTATTCAGTGGCTTGGCTGCGCAATTTGTTTGGCTGTACTTGGAGATTGGCATCTGCACTGGCTTGGTCAGGTGACAGACTTTACAATGCGCTACAGCGGTGCAATTTTTGCCGTCTCCAACGCGGTGTTGGTTGCAGGTATGTGCACGTACGAGAGATACCTGATGACATCTGCAAATCTTGGCATGTCGGCGATAGACATAAATTTCCATCGTGTGGCCAGATCCTCGGGCGACAGTGTTCAGCTGGCCTATGTGACCTGTAGGCGTGGCCTGGATCTCGAGGTTCTTTCGATGCCGATGATCGCAGGCCTCGGCTACATGGAGGGCTTTCCAGCGACACTCCTGGAGCTGGCAACCCGAAGGCGAGGGGCTGCGGCCGACTGTGGCCCACTGCTTCAGCCCAACCGGATAACAGGTACGAAGCTTCGCTGATTGCATCCTCGGCTTTCGCTGCGTTCGGCATCGGCACGCTCCTTCTGGCTTTACAGGCCCTCGCGCCACACACGGCTTTTCCGTGCAGCATCCCATGCAATGCGATATTGGCAGGGTCAAGTTACGCTGCAATCTGAGCGAAGGTACGGTTCGAAAATCCAGGTTGAATTTCTCATAAAAGGTGGGAGGCATTTTGGCTCAAGCCATTTCGGCTTTAGAAATCCGGCAGCTCAAACCTTGCCCGGCCATGGCGCCTGCCCCTGCGATGCGTGAGGATGCTCGGGATGTGTGGCTCCAACCTGCGGAGGAGGAAGTCCAGCTTGTGATGGAGCGCCTTAAAGTGGATTCCGAAGAGGCACGCCGAGTCCTGTCGAAGGGTCTCCCACCAGGATGGCTTGCATGCCGCACAGATGACGGCGAAGCCTACTATCACAAGCCCAGCACAGGTGTGTCACAATGGCAACATCCTGGTCGCGCCTGGATACCTTCAGACATGAGCCAGCTGGCTGCCTCACTCATGCGGCCTCGACGCAAAGGGGAAGCTGGAGCAGACTGCGAGTCGCAAGAGACCTCGGCTGCTCATTCAGTGTACGATGCACGCAGCCGCCACGTGGAGCTAGACACCCCTGACACTTTGTTCACCGCTACGCCGAGCATCGTGCGCGAAGATGTCGTTGGCCGTGCATTTGCGCTCCGGAACATCCTCACGCCGGCGGAAGCTGCAACCTACGTGGCCTCAGCCCAGAGAAGCGGTTTTGGCCACAGCGATGTGTCACGGGAGTTCCCTGCATCGCTGCGGAACAATTCGCGTCTGATCCACTTCAGCGATGCGCTTGCTCTAGCCTTGTACAGACGGCTAGCACCCTACCTTGCGCATCGCGACGTGTATCTCGTGCAGCCGATGGGCTTCGGGGCCGAGGGTCGATGGAAGCCGGTTGGCATCAACCCGTGCTTTCGCATCTCGCAGTACAAGGAGGGAGAGCACTTTGCAACTCACTGCGACGGGATGTATGCTAACGACAACGACGAGTGCAGTATCTACTCCGTCGTCATGTACCTGAACGAGGACTACGAGGGTGGCGAGCTTGAATTCACCGACTCCGGCAAACGCTTCCGGCCGACAGCCGGCACTGCAGTGCTGCTTCCACACGACCTTTCACATGCTGGACTTGAGGTCAGCAAGGGCATCAAGTATGTGGCTCGGAGCGAGCTCATGTTCCGCTGCGTGGATCGCCGTCCCCCGCCGTCAATTCCAAAGTATGCTGACGATCCCTTGTTCCGGCGCATGGCGGCCCTCTACGAGCAGATAGGGGATTTGGCTGCAAAGGGAGATGCCTCAGTGACCACCAAGGCTTATCAGGAGGCGCTTGGCCTGCAGATTGCACACCAGGGAACTGATGCCAAGCGACGTGCCACGAACCCCCTCCCTTTCGAGGAGAAGTCACTGGAGCACATCCTTGGCTTTCTGCATCCTCTGGAGGTCGCGAACAGCTCCTCTGTATGCTTCAGATGGCACAACGTCACACTGGCAGGTGCGCTCTGGCAGAGCTTTTGCCGACTTCGATGGCCGAACGACAGTGAGGTGTTGGAAGGACTGGCCTATGACTTGGAGCCGGAGTTGAAGGACTGGATGGGCATCTACCGAAGGCAACACATCCTCGAAGGAAGTGCTCCAGTTTGTGTGGTTTTCTTAGCCTCCACTATTTCATGCTGGGCAGACGGAGCTGAGCAGGAGACCTGTGTGCCGGCCATTTTCTCGCATGATGTGGATGGCGTTAGATGGGACTGCTCCTTCAAGCAGAGAGTTGGCTGGATTTGCGGTGGCAACCTCTTGGACAAGAAGCGTTTCTGGCACGGCAACGCACAGGCGCTCAATGCGCGGCGCTTGGAACAACCAAAGCGAGGATATGCTTTTGAAGGAAACAGTTCATGTGGTGGCGAGTACACGATGCCGGATGTTGGCAAGGTCGATTTTCAAACAGTGGCAGAGGCATTCTCTTGGGCATTCCGAAAGCTGGGAATCAGGGCGACCGACTACCAGCTGGTTGCCCCGCTCCTACCGGGCTTGCTGAAGCAGACGGGTCGTGCGCGGCTGGCGCAGATATTGACGCAGCGGTTTGAGGTCCCCCGGCTCTCCTTCGTCGACGCACCCCTCTGCGCCCTGCGTGCCCGAGGGCTCAAGACTGGAACTGTGATCTGGGGAGAGGAGCTGAGCAGGTCAGCCGTGTTTTTCTACTTGGATGATGAAGAAGTGCTGGTGTCCCAGGACTTCCACTTCAACTCGGCCAAAGTAGAGGACGTGCTCTTGCTTCTGGCCCAGGCAAGAAACTTGGGCCCCGACCGATGCGCCGCTGTGCTGGCAGACGTGGTTTTGTCGCCACAGCCGTACTTGCAGGAGGAGAACAGACGGGGTCCGGGGATCAACCGCACCCCGCCTGCCTGGGCTGATCCTCAAACGCTGAAGGCAGCTTTGGACCTTCTCCACATCGCCACTCGCCTTCACGAGCCTTTGGCCGCGGACGTTCTTTGCGGGGCAAGGTCTATGGCGGGTGATTTGCCACTCGTGGCGCCACCTGCTGTCTCCCACATGTGGCAATGGCGCGTACATGCTGACGGACAGTGGCTTGTGCTGCCGCGGTATGTGGCAGGGGTCTTCGAGGGCGCGCTTCGTGCAGGCCACAGGTACGCTGCCGTTCAGACGCGAACTCGCTACTGGCCGGGCCACAGCGGCCCCGCGCACACCCTCTACTTAGTAGCAGATCTGGATTCGGATTCCTGCCGTGTGGCCTTGTGCAGGTCAGCCTTTGCCAATGTACCCTTTGCCCCATATATTATCAGATCAGAGCTCGGGAAGGATATGCCTTGTCAGCCCATTGGTGATTGGTGCAGGTTGACTCGGTTTGTTCGCGGGAAGCCCTCTGAGACTCCGGATCTGCGCAAGCCGGAAGACATCGAAAGGGAGTCAAGGAGTCAGGAGGAGGTGGTCGCCGTTGAAGGGCCAGCTGTCCACGTCCGCAACCTCGCAGGACGGCTCGTCTTCTCGATGCCGACCGACAAGGTGCTGGCCTGCGGAATGCTGGAGTTCACGGAGCAGCCTGCCCTGAGCCTCGGGGTGGAGGCAACCCGCCTCAAGCTCCTCGATGGCGCAGAGGAGCTGGATCCGCACGAAGACTTGGTTCGGCGCATTTCGTCTCATGAAGTGTCGGAGTTCCAGGTGCTAATTTGCCCCAAGACTGCCACAGACCCCCGAGAAAACGAACCGCGTGAGTCCATCCCAGAAGATCTTCCTGGATGTCAAACCGAGACCGGCTACGACAACTTCATGAACGCCATCAACAAGATCCAGGAAAATAGGCAGTTTTAAACTGCACTTCCCAGCTCCTTTAAGTTCCCTACTCGTTTTTTTGTGACCTGACATGCGCATGGGGGTGGTAGTTTGCAAGGGTAGATCAGCTCCATCAATCAAGCTGGAAAGTGTAGCTTCGAAATTAGCTTCGACTTTCTAGTTGTGTCACGCAGAACTCCTCTTGCACTGAATACGGGTTCTAAGGGCAGACATGGAGGCTGTAATAGCAGTAGTAACCTGTTACGATCGCTAAATGTCAGGGCCCCGCAGAATCAGCTCAAGAGGAATTCGGCTTACAGTCTTGTACTCCCTTATCTTGCTGAGCTTGCGCCTGATGATACAGTTCGCGCCCTACCTGGCTTCAGCGGAACGGAGAAAAAAAGCATGTACTCTGTGGTGCTGTCGAAGTGAAGGGGTGAGCTCTTTTGAAACAGAGAGCGGCAAGGGTAATGTCCCTGCGTCGCATGTGGCCTTGATGGTGCTGCTGTTTTGCTGACTCATGCGAAGGCTGTATCTGCTTTGACTTTATTTGGATGCGGTTATTGGGTTTGATGGGCTGTGTCTTTACTTGTTGGCTGTGAGTGCGGTGCGAGTCGGCGTAAGCAGTTGAGTTAGCGGAGATCGAACCGTGAGGAGCCTTGCCTGCTTGTGCGAGTGTGAGAGTCGAAAAGGTGGGAGGCTAATTAAGAGAGCTCATGCCCCAGCGAAAGCTGGGGATTCGATAGGGTTTTGCTGTTAGATCAGGTTTTCCTATTGCTGAAGCTGCAATTCAAAAACGGCCTGGCTTCGGTTTGGGACCGGGCTTGGCCTTGGCTTTGGCTTTAGCTTGGCCTGGCTGTGGCTTTGGCTTGGCGATGCTGGCGCACGGTCCTCAGAATCCCTCTTGCAGTGTTGTCACAAGTACAAATGTAGATGTAGTAGAAGAAGACCTAAGAAGAAGAAGAAGTAGTAGTAGTGGTGGTGGTGGTAGTAGTAGTAGTAGAAGTAGTCGTCGTCGTCGTCGTCGTCGTCGCGGTGGTGCTGGTGGTGGTGGTGGTGGTGTTTTAAGTATTTTCCCTAAAACTGATATTGATATGTTTGCCTCACCGTTATGAAGACCATGTTTCCTATGACCCCCCCAAATCCCGCTTTTTCTTCGCCGTCGAAGCTTGCATCCAGGAACATTGCGCCACCAAAAAGAATTGCGTCGTACATAAGGCTCTTATGATAGGCATCATAATCACAGGCATTCTGTTTGCAATTGGGGGTCGGCTCCCCCCCGCTCTAACCCCTTTCACTGAGACAGCAAGAAACGGTAGAGGGGTCGCTTGTGACTTC